GATGTACGGTGTGATTAATTTAATTGGTACAATTGAAGTTTCGATAATGTAGACGAATATTAAGTGTCCGGTGCAAATTTAACTTGTGACTGGAATTAAATGTTGATGAAACGTTTTAGACAGTTACTCCGTTCTGGTTCTTGCGCGTGCAACTATGGTGTAATTGATGTTCTGTGCGAATGTAACGTTGTAATTAAACTGTTGTATTACGTTTGAAATATGGGTCATTTGAAAAATGAGCTAACAGGTTCATATCTCTTAATCGAAAATTACTTCTTAAATATTGCATGCTGTCACTGGGGTTCAAACATTTTATCAACATTCCCCTCGTTTCAATACTACAAAAAAATTCTGCCTCAGAAATAATAACAGTAAACAGTATTAGGTAAACAATCGGTGCACTGTGACTTGATAAACAGTCTTTCAGTGAGGTTGAGTTCTCGCAAAACATTCGTCATATCGTTAAATAAATACAGTAATTTTATGTTCGTAAAGCGTCGTTATAAACTATCAAATGGAAAACACGTCCCTTAACCCTTTGGTGCCTAATGGAACACACATGTCCCAAAATTGTTCTCAATTTCCTATCCATTACAGACGTGATCCTCTACAGATAAACAAAAACTTGGCTAAAATCGTTAAACATTCAAACCTAGTCCACAGTAAAAAAAATGTACAATACCGTCTCGTCACTTTGAAAACGATCCCCCTACAATACCGTCTCGTCACTTTGAAAACGATCCCAAAAAAAAAAAAAAAAGAAAAAGGGGAATTCATCTCACTTATCACACACAGCTCGAGCCACGCCAAACCGTTCGTTCGGCCGGTATCACGAATCGCGTCACGTTTCGAAAAATGCTCGAGGGATTCTCACGTTTCCGGTAGAAGGTACGATAGAGCGCCCCGCGAGAGTCGAAATATGAAATCCACGCACGACATGGGCGTGTTTCGAGCCCTCTCGATAATTCAGAAAATCGATTACACCAGGGTGAAACGGGCCAGGCCTTTTACGACTCTGGTCCGTATTTACGTTACAGCCGAGGAAATCCGCGTCGGGCGCTGTGCGGTGGCCGCGTTGCGTCGATACGCCGCTCCAACCGGAAACGGCCACACACAGCCCGTGCACGCTGCATATCCGCATTGTTATGGCCGCGTTTCCGGTTGTTTGTCCTACGAGAGCAGACCTACTCTGGAAATCTACTCGTCACTGGTGCATCCGCGTTTCTCCTCTCTGCGAGACGAAGCTTCTTGCGCCGCCGCTTCGAGCGTCGTAAAGAGACGTCTTATCGCGCTGATAACGCGAGAAGTCGTCTGCAGACGACTCTCTCGAACAGGAAGCTCTTTCTCTCTGTCCTAGAATAGCAGAGTCGTAAAGAATCGACGATCTCTTTTAGTTTCGCCAAGTTGAATAATTTCCGATCGATGCTCTGTGACTTCGATCTTGCGGGGTCAATGAACTATCCGTCGTTGTGTTGGGGTAGATTAAGTACAGTGGATCGTGAGCTTAGTGGCACAGGTCTACGAAATGTTACTTTTACTTGGAATATCTGAAATGTTCAAAATTTTTTAAAATGGCAATACTTGACACGAAACATTTTGTACAAATCTGAAGACTTGACACGTTCACTGCCACGCCAGATTTACATATTTTGCTCGGGGGAGCAAACCACAAGAAAATAATATTATGATGTTCGAAATTTTTAGTTGACAGTATTCGTTTTAATTTAATCACTCGAAACATTCGAGGCCCTCGTGAAATTGACACGTTGATAATTTAAAGCTTGTTCCCATTAAAATTCAATTTCACCGTGCAACGTCCTCGTTATATACGCTAAATCCAAATTTCCATTTTTTGGACCTCGCTCGTACGTCACAGAAACTCTGCGAAATTACCATTTTTTCCCGCAAAACAGCGTTCGCTGAGAGAATGGTAATAAACGTGCGGCGATTGGAGATTTTTGTTAGCAGGAAGCGTGATAAAATCGCGATGGCCGGAGCGCAGAATTGTCGGCATTGTCCGGAGAGCAGCAGGTGCCATTTCGCGAATGGCAACGTTATCGCGCATTCTCCGGCTATGCCAGGTTATGCCAGGGGTTATGCGTGGCCTATTCACAAGTGGCCGTGCACCGTGTTCAAAGGACCATTACGAAAATGACCATTAAAATAAATTACTCTCATCGCGGGGCCACGTACGTAACGGCCGACAACGCTGCTCAATACCTTGGAATACGTGACACGGAAATAATCGGCCACGTACGAATCAATTTACGCAAATAATGGCCGTAGGGGAACGTAGTAGGGGGTCAACCTGTGAAATTTCAACCGCTGGAAACATTCGATCCCTCGTACAACCGACGAGAACGCTTTTGCCCAAAAATTTCGTTCGTCCTTCGGACGAGTTTCTGCCGTTCGAACCGGCACACGGGCGAAATTTTCATGACGAATACCCGTTCGAGAAAGAGAAATCGCTCTCTTGTTCGGTTATTTCGGGCTCCAGATGGTCCAAGTCGTATTTCACGGCACTTCCAATGGATTATTGAAGATGAGATGAGCGATGGTGGGCGAGGATCCTCGTTGAGATTTTTCCGAGTGTTTGTTCGGCTGTAACGGCCATTCTGGTTAAATCGCTCGTCGTACGTAACTTTATGCTTCGTTGGATAAATGTAGCGTGAGTTATAAACGAATTAGAAACTCGTCCCTTAGGTTTCTAAAGGGAAACGAGTTGGTGATTATGAGAATTTCAGTTTCGTCTTTATTCCTCTGATTGTGACAGAATTATCCAGAATGGAAGAACAAATTTTACTTACAGTAACTGTATAAATTTAATTTAATCTCATATTTTTTACATTTTTGAAGCAATCGTAGTGGAATATAAAATCTCAAAATGGGATAGAGTTCATTCAAATTACGTTTGGTGGAATTTTTTAATTCAGAAATTATCGAACTAATTTTACATCGAATAGAGTCCGTCATTTTTGCTTCGAAAGAACAGATCGCCTCTGTCGATAGATAAATAACGGAGAGAAAAGAAGAACCGACGTTCGTCGAGGTATTTTTGTTCTTCCTCCGCGTCGATCCCTTTATTTTAACGCTGAATATTACCGTGTTTAGAGGAGCGAACCGTGGCTAGAGCGTTTGACGGCGAATCGAGTGGCGGTACATCGAAATCCTTTTTCGACGCGATTCAGCAAATATTGACGCTCGCGAATTGAAATTTGCATGGACGGCGAAATTGGCAAAATATTCCTGCTCGTAAAAGAACGTTCGGCGACGCGCGGCTCGTGCAGCGAGAAATGGAAACCCGCTCGACGACGAAGTCGTCTTCTGTTTCTCTCGCGGGAATATCGTTCGCCGGTTGACGCACAACTGAACTCTCAAATTTAATATCACGCGTTGGGTCGCATCTCTTCAATCGAGTTACAGGCCGGAGGTGAAATATGGCTTGTTTTAGTCGTGATGAAGCTAATTTAAGAGATATCGGGATTGTGTTTGGTTCAGTTGTAAGTAATGTTTGAGACGATGTGCAGTCGTTTGGAAACTGGAAGGGAAATAGGAAAATTGTAGGTAACTTAGACGTGAACGAGAAATATTCTTCCTCTGTTAATAGTGCAAAAGTATTACACTAAGAAGTAGAAGAGAGCTCAATTTAGTTGTGTATGAAGGTTTGACGAAGTTTGAATAGTAAGAAAATTGTACCTAATTTGAAATGCACAAGAAATATCATCTTTCTTAATTAATAGTATAAAAGTATTGCGCTAGAAAATATAAAGAGTGCTCAATTTGGTTGTATATGAAGGTTTGACGAAGTTTGAATAGTAAGAAAATTGTACCTAATTTGAAATGCACGAGAAATATCATCTTTCCTAATTAATAGTGTAAAAGTATTGCGCTAGAAAATATAAAGAGTGCTCAATTTGGTTGTATATGAAGGTTTGACGAAGTTTGAAGAGCAAGAAAATTGTACCTAATTTGAAATGCACGAGAAAGATCATCTTTCCGACGATGTGCAGTCGTTTGGAAACTGGAAGGGAAATAGGAAAATTGTAGGTAACTTAGACGTGAACGAGAAATATTCTTCCTCTGTTAATAGTGCAAAAGTATTACACTAAGAAGTAGAAGAGAGCTCAATTTAGTTGTGTATGAAGGTTTGACGAAGTTTGAATAGTAAGAAAATTGTACCTAATTTGAAATGCACAAGAAATATCATCTTTCCTAATTAATAGTGTAAAAGTATTTCGCTAGAAAATATAAGGAGTGCTCAATTTGGTTGTATATGAAGGTTTGACGAAGTTTGAAGAGTAGGAAAATTGTACCTAATTTGAAATGCACGAGAAAGATCATCTTCTCTAATTAATAGTGTAAAAATGTTACACCAAGAAATAGAAGAGAGCTCAATTTAGTTGTATATGAAGGTTTGACGAAGTTTGAAGAGTAAGAAAAGAATTTTATTTCTTTATTTACATATATGGACAAAGAAGAGTATTGATAAAAATTTTTTTACAACTGTCACTTACTTAAAATTGTCGAAAGCATCTGTTATTTATGTTAAATCTCAATTCAATCAATACAATCCTGCCCATTCCCACAAATCATACACTTACGAAAAAACTTGAAAATCCCCATCCGTTACATTCTTCCCTCAACAGCGTCAAACTTTCCCCTCTTCTGATCGTTCAGGGTAACATTTCCTTATCGCACAGTATAAAACAGAAAGAAGAATCTATTTTACAACCTAACTAAAACTACTTACACACTCGTCCAACGAACAGACAAAGGAACCTTACTCCCTCCTACTCACTGTACTACAAAAATTTCCAAGCTCCACTGGAAATCACTATGTCCAACCATGCTCCCTCCTTTCTAAATCTTCCCCGTCCAAGGTCACTCAATCGATCATCCCCCGTTTGCGTGCAGCGGGATATCGAAGTTAACTCGCGGATGCCCTAGTAGAGGCGGCCTTCGAGAAATCTTATTCTCAACACGATCCGGTCGTTTTTCAGGGTCCGGTCGGGGAAGTGGGCGGCGTCAGGCTGCCGTTGCAGTCATTACATGGGTACGGATCTGTGTTCATGTACTCGGCGTCGACGAGTCCCGGGGGTGGAGGTGGTCAGGGTGGCGGAGGCGGAGGTGAAGTGACCCTCCGCCTCCGCGAACCCGAGGACATTCCCGAAGAAGTTCTTGCACGCCTCGAGGACACAGCCACCCTCTCCATCTCTCTTCAAGGCGACGCAGTGTTGAGGCTGGGGGCGGCTGGTACAGGTAAGTCCCCTATTCTGTCCTGATCTTTCGGTATTTTCGACCAAGAGGATGCTAACTTTGCGATACGACCAACTTTCATCGTGGATCTCGACAAGTTTCTTCTTCCTTCAGAGTGTTTTTCTTCTACCTTTTTTTCCTGCTTTTTTTTCTTTTTGCCGCCGCTGCTGCTGTCTTCTTGATGGAGTAGGTTTAAGTATGTCTAGAGAGAGTTGTTGGACAATCGTGAATCGTTATTACGGGGGACAGTGTGGAATTGAAGCTGGACGTATGAAAGTTAAGAACGCTTTAATCCTTTCGCTGTTTTATTTGTATGATCTGTCAGTTTATTTCATTTGATGTTTGAAGTATTTCGACAGGCAACGCGTAAAATATATGCAAAATGTAGTTTTTCCTACTTTTTACTGCATATGTGAATAAATTTAGTCGTGAAAGAGTGGAACGTTTTTAACAGCGAAAGGGTTAAGTGCTGCAGAGTTGGTTCGTTTTTGAAGCAGGTAGATTTCAATAAGGATGTTCACTTTCTCGAGCTAATTTTAATAAAAATTGAAACAGTCGGTAGAACAGAAGCATTTTTATAAAAATATATTTTTACTATCAAACACAATTAGGAAGACTTCTATGAAACTTAATCACGAAAGTTCCTTTTCTTTTTTCTTTGAAAGTTTCAATATTTTTCGTTTACATAAATTCGAAGTGTTTTAGTTTACCAGAAAATTACTGTTAACGAAAAAAGTTACACATCGAGAGGCAAATTACGGCGTAGCAAATATTCTTCGGCTGATTTACGATTAATCAGAGACAAATTAAAAAATTGTTACGGTGGTCGAAGTCGCGGGACCGGCTGGACGATAAATAATTGGCTTATACGGTGCATAAATTCCTGCGGGATCCCAGCTTCTGTGAAACTTACCCCTGAATTTATTATAATGGGGATCGTCCCCTCGTATTTTTGGGATCGCAATTAATTTTCTCGTTTTCGAAGCGCGCGCGTGTGGCCCAGGCCAGATTAGCCGGCGCATTTGCACCCGCGCGTGCGGCCTAATACAGAATTATTTTACTGAAATACGCCGATCCCTGGCACGCATTATCGCCGATACTTTTGTGCGATGCATTTTTCCCTGATAAGCTGGCCATTCGTTTCGTTTTATGGGCATCGATGCTGCTACGGCTAGACTTCTCGTGGAATTTGTGAGCTCGATTAGTTTTGAGAATGATGGCTGTGTTTGCTGATACCAAGTAGATTTTATTAGCTGTTAAATATTATATCTACACGTTATTATACTTACACGAAATCGTGTAAGGGTTCGTATAGTTAATTGTAGCAAGATTTAGACGAAGTATTAAATATTTTATTAAATCTAGAACACAAATTTTATATTTTCACTTCAAAAAGACCGCTAAATTCAATAAACTTAAATAAACGATTTTTACAATTTTAATGTTAACTCCTTAAGCTGCGATTTTTTTTCTGACTATGCATGTAAGCGTCAGTCATTTACTGTTTGAGTACTGTATCAAGTGACAAAAGCAAATCTGTTACAGATTAATTACATTTAGTAATCCTCAGTCTTACAAATTCAATCGAAACTTAGGATTACAATTAATGATAATGTAACTGTTTTCTGTTGTTGTTGTAGGTTAAGGATTAATAAAGTTAGCAAACAAAAAAAAATACAAATATTTTTACCGTATTCCCAAATTTCTAATTATTCAAAAATTGATCTCTCAGCTGATTACTTGAGTGTTGCAAAATTCTAAAATTTTTGTTAAGTTACTTTTGGGGAATCTGAGGGTGACATTTCTTCAAATTTAAAAGACAATTTGTACACCTCCCTGAAAAATTCAAAATTCCCTATTAAACGATTTAGTAATTGATAAATAGATAAAAGAACAAATCAGATTTATACAGAGAAAAAATTAGTACGACTTCTACGCTAAAAGGTACCTAAAGAAAAAGGAATCTCCGGTGCAGCTTAAAAATACAGGGAGAATCAGCGACGTCTTGAGAAATCTAAATGAACGCGGTACTCGACGCCCCCCCGTGCCGGAATCGTGGGAATCGATTGCATTAACGATTAACCCCGAAGGAAATGGAGGCGTAACCTCCATCGGGTCTGCTTTCTCGACAAGAAGAACGGAACTTCCAGATTGCTTCAGTTTTGTGTAGTTCCATTGAAACTGAACGTCTACCTCTGTTTGGTCGCCGGCGCACCTTGATCTCAATAAATCGTTTTAAAACAGCGATTGCAACCTGGGCTCGGATCGCGTTTCGAAAACTCCGTCTGGAAAATAAAAGTTCTCTTATTGCCGAGGCGCGCCTCTTCGGGCGTGGATTCTCGAGCACCGCCGAATACGAAATTCGATCTGTTTATTTGAAGTAAGTTTTTCGACAGCGATCGTCTTGCCGATACCTTTTCACCATTTTTCTTGTCGAGCGTCTCGCGGGACTACATTTTTCACGACTTGCTTTTCAATATCGTCCTTGTAAGTTTGTGTCGAACTTTCGTGTAAATCATGACGACTTCGTGTTGCTTGACAAAAATATCTTATTTTTTAACTCTTTTAAATATGTTTTCAATTGGCCTCAATTACAGTATATACTCCACAAGTGTCAGACCGCAAGGAAGCTAAACCTGACACATGTAGAATCAGGAACTACGTTTTCGAGCCTCGCGCCCGCCTTTGTAGTTTGCCGAACGTAGACAAGGACAGCGAATAAAAGATCCAGGCAACCAAGCGATTTAAATATCAACTTTTTTAATTTTACGTTTTTTTATCCCGAAATTTTTCTTAACATATTGATGAGATTTTTCTGATGAAAATGACATAAAACACGACATAATTTGAACAACATTTACTTATTAACACGTTCACTGTCACGCCAGATATTTCACTGTATTGAGATAAAACAGACGCCCTGTATTACATTACATAGAGTCGGCCTACCGTCTGACTGACACTTGTAGAATCGGCCCTACATTTTTTTTGTTTTTTACGTGGAGGTAGGCCGACATTAAATAAATTACTCAATAAGTATTAGTAAAGTATTGATAAAAAAACAGCGAGCGAGGATAACATAGGCGTAGGACCATCTATACTGACACTTGTAGAATCCAAACTGACTGACACTTGTAGAGAATTTACTGTACTCCTTTAAGAGGGTGCACCATCCTGAGAAAATAGGTAAAAATTTTGGAAAATGTAGGGTCGATTCCAGAAGTGTCAGTAAAATGTAGGGTCGGCCTACATCCACGTAAAAAAAAAAATGTAGGGTCATTTTTTTTTAATACTTATTGAGTGTTTAATTTAATTTCATAATATATCGCTTTGGATGAATTACAAAAACAAATTGCTAAGAAATTACATTAAATACCTGTACACATTATTCGTCGAATGTAGAGGTCGAGCCACCGTTTGGTTGCCAATTGTTTATCACATAGAGTTGGTCTACCTCCACGTAAAAAAAAAAAAATGTAGGGTCGATTCCACAAGTGTCAGTAAAATGTTGGGTCGATTCCATAAGGGTCAGTAGTCTGTTTACTGTCACTAGTGGAATCCAAACTTACTGACTCTTGTGGAGAATTTACTGTATTCTGTAATACTTGTTGTATACTCTGTTATTACTGTTGCGAATTATTGTGGTATCCTGTTAGGTCGTTTGGTTAATTTCAGTTAAATTTTCATCGAGAGCGACACTCTTTTTATCATATTTTTCTTGGCTGTCTGCGACATTTTCACGAAAAAGTAGCTCGATCTCTAGATCGTCAGTTCAGTGCCAGATGAGGACCGAAATAAATAGAGGTTGCAAAGACCTGTATCTAACAATAAGTTACACACTAGACGAGTTAGAGTTTTCTGCAACGGATAAATTAATTTTCACCCTGTATAATAACGCGAATATGTCTCCGTTGATCCGACGCTGTGCGGTTAAGTGGGACAGAGAACGCGAATGAAAAAAGGGAAGCGTTCGAAAAGGGGAGGACCAACTCGTTCAAGGACTCATTAAACCATCACGAAGCGGACATTCGTTCGATCGTGTATTTTTCCGGGAAACACCGGACACAAAAGCGAGAAATTCCCGTGGAATGACAACCCGAAAGCAACAGAGAGAGAGTCCAGGATGCGGCTCGGCCGAAACGGATTAAAACTTTTATCAGAGCTTTCAAAGGCAGCTGGTCCACGGGACAGAGGGTGCCCCGTGGCTTCGCCGAAAAGAGGATTCGTGGAACGATCGAACGTTAACTTCCGGACGATTTGTCAGAGCCTTTCGCGGAGGCGGATGCCGCCTCTCTTGCGCACGCCGCGATAAATCCCGGATTTTCATAAGTTCCCTCCTCTCCTATGGTCCCTGTTCGACCACGTAGAGGGAGAGAGAGAAATGCGAGGCAAACCATCGAAAGCCTTTTCGCCTGCCTCTCCGGTGCGACGTTCCCTCTGCGCTCCTGTGTCTCGCATTCTAAGCGTCGTTCGTCGGCGATCGAATCGAGATATATGCCTGAGTTTCTCTTTTCTCTTTTCTCGCGGCTCGCAGGCACGGCGGCTGGAAAAGAAGGAGCGCAAGAAGGGGCGAGATTTATCGAAGTTGCGGCTTGTTACCGGGGCTTTACGCTTCCGGCACGGGCGCCTGCTCGAGAGCCGCGATAAAGGTGCTAGCAATTGATTAAGAGGGTCGTTTGTGCCAAGGAAATGCTACTTCAAACGCGACCCCCGCCCGATCCGAGCCGCTTTTCACAGGCCTCTTCTGTGTGCCGCGGCGCTCTTGGATTCTTTTGTACAAGCCCGTCTGGCGTCAAAACTGCCGTGGTAATCCGACGGCTCGCCAGAGAAATCGTGGATCCGACGCTTTATGCTCGGTAATCTGCTGCGTTTTCGCTCGATGCTTTTCTTTCTTTTCTTTTTTGCCGGATTTCAAGTTGCTTTTGTTTAATCGCGTGTTGTGTTAAGGAGCGCGAAGGTGGCTTTGAAACGATGATGTTTTTCAGTTGGAGTATTTACGGGGT